TCAAACTCACCGGTTCAATTACCTAGACAAGTATCCTGACCAAGTTTTATGACAAGTTCCCGGTACTGCGATATTGTTATTTACGAAGACCTTTACTAATTACATGCTGCATTAAATTCAAATACTTGATATGGCATTTGTTGAATTGTTAATTGGTTGTAAAAATGAAAGATTATTTTAAATGACTTCCCCATTCATAGGCTTTGCCTAATTTCATAAGCAAGAGGGCCAAGATGGCACTAGATAGCTCACCTTACCCATCAAACTCATCGGTTTAATTACCTAGACAAGCATCCTGACCAAGTTTTATGACAGTTGAGTCAAAAATGTGACTACTAGAGTATTAACAAGGTTTTTCCATATTTGAGCTGTGTCACCTAGTTTTTGACCCCAGGTGACCCATATTCAAACTTGATCTAGAAATCATCAAAACAAATTTTCAGACTAATTTCCAGGATATTTGGATCAAAACAGTAGCCACTAGAGTGTTATCAAGATTTTTCTACTTTTAGCTCCTGTGACCTAGTTTTTCATCCGAGATGACCCATTTTCGAACTGATATGAGCAATTACCTAGACAAGCATCCTGACCAAGTTAAATGACAATTGAGTCAAAACTGTGACCACTAGAGTTTTAACAAAGTTTTTTTACCAGGTTTTCAACGAAACCTGGGTTATTGTAATGTTGAAGTCGGCAGACGGGCTGTTGGGCGGGCGTCAACTTTTGTTTCCGCTCAATAACTTGAGTTTGCTTTGGCCTATTGACACCAAACTTGGTATATAAGTAGCTTACATCAAGATGCAGCTTGGGAGTGCTATTCAGGTGTCTGTGATCAAGGTCAAGGTCACTGTTACTAAAAATAGAAATTCAATTTCTGCTCAATAACTTAAGTTTGCATAGGCCTATTGGCACCAAACTTGGTGTATAGGTAGCTTATATCAAGCCACAGCTTGGGATTGTTACTCAGGTGTCTGTGATCAAGGTCACTGTTACTAAAAATAGAAATTTAGTTTCTGTTCAATAACTTTAGTTTGCTTAGGCCTATTGACACCCCTATTGACATCAAACTTAGTGTATGAGTAGCTTATACCAAGACGCATCTTGGGATTGCTACCAAAGTGTCTGTGATCAAGGTCAAGGTCACTGTTACCAAATATAGAAATTCTGTTTTTGCTCAATAACTTCAGTTTGCTTAGGCCTTATGACACCAAACTTGGTGTATGGGTAGCTTATATCAAGAGACAGCTAGGGATTGCTACCCAGATCTGTTTGATCAAGGTCACTGTTGCTAAAATTATAAATTAATTTTCCGTTCAATAACTTCAGTTTTTTTACCTATTGACACAAAACTTAGTATGTGGGAAGCTTATATCAAGACACCACTTGGGCGGGCGGGCTTCAACAGATGCTAAAAATAGAAATTAGATCTCTGCATAATAACTTGAATTTGCTTAGACCTATTGACACCAAATTTAGTATATGGGTAGATTACATCAAGAGGCAACTTGGGATTGCTACCCAGGTGTCTGTGAACAAGGTCAAGGTCAATGTTCCTTAAAAAAAAGAAATTCAGTTTCCACATAATAACGAGTTTGCTGTGACCTATTGACACCAAACTTGCTGTGTAGGCAGCTTATATTAAGATGCAGCTTGGGATTGCTACTTAGATATATGTGGCAAGGTAAAGGTTCAGCAAACTTTGACCTTTAATACTTAACTTGGCATGTGTGTAGCTTGCATGAAAATACAGTCTGACATTGATACTCAGGTATCTAGTATATTTTTATTTTAAACTAGTGAAACCAATAGTCTGTGTTGGTACAAAAACAGCATCATTTTTCCTTCACTGCCATATTTCATTATTAATTCCTGTCTCATCAATACTTGGTGGTTGAAAACCTGGTTTTCGTTGCATTGTGGCGCTTCTTGTTCATATTTTGGTGGTGTTACCTAGTTTTTTACCTAAGGTGTCGGACCCATATTCGAAATTGACCTAATAATCATCAAAATAGACTTTCAAACCAATTTCCAGGATATTTGGATCAAAACAGTAACAACTAGTGTTAACAAGATTTTTTTATTTTTAGCTCCTGTGACCAAGTTTTCATCCGAGATGACCCATGTTCGAACTCATCAGAGCAATTACCTAGACAAGCATCCTGACCAAGTTTGATGACAATCAAAAATGTGACCAATAGAGTGTTAATAAGATTTTTCCATATTTTGGCATTGTGACCTAGTTTTTGACCCAAGGTGAACCATATTCAAACTTGACCTAGAAATCATCAAAGCAAAGTTCTAGACTAATTTCCAATAGCCACTAGAGTGTTAACAAGACTTCTATTTTTAGCTCCTGTGACCTAGTTTTTCATCTGAGATGATCCACATTTGAACTCATTCGAGCAATTATCTAGACAACCATCCTGACAAAGTTTGATGATTGAGTCTAAAATGTGACCACTAGTGTTAACGAACAAATGTGGACAGACGACGGACATTCAATATATACATATATCCCCGCCATATAATGCCCTGTTCCGTCATTCCGTCCTTCCGTCATTCAGCCATCATTAGTTTCCGTTCATTATCTTAGTAACGGTTGCACACATTCAACTCAAATTTAACATATGGATATGTCATGAGAAAATTCAGGCCAAGTTCGAATTTGGTCATGGTTCGATGATTTTTGGCAGAGTTATGCCCCTTTTACTTTGAAAATAATATGAAATTTCCAGTTTCCGTTCATTATCACTCCAACGGTATTACACATTCAAGTCAAACTTAACATATGGATATGTCATGAGAAAATACAGGTCAAGTTCGAATTTGGTCATGGTTTGATTATTTTTGGCAGAGTTATGCCCCTTTTACTTGATAAAAAATATGAAATTTTCAGTTTCTGTTTGTTATCTCCCCAATGGTATTACACATTCAACTCAAATTTCACATATGGATACGTTAAAGGAATGCGCAGGCCAAGTTTGAATTTGGTCATGGTTCAATGATTTTTTTGCAAAATTTTCTTGGCGAATGCGCAAGCCAAGTTCGAAATTGGTCATGGTTGCAGAGTAATGCCCCTTTCACTTTGAAAATAATATGAAATTTTCAGTTTCTGTTCATTATCTCCCCAACGGTATTACACATTCAGCTCAAATTTGACATATGGAAATGTTAAAGGAATGCGCAGGTCATGTTCGAATTTTGTCATGGTTCGATGATTTTTGGCCCTTTAACTTTGAAAAAATGGAAATGTTCAGTTCCCATTGATGATTCATTATCTCCCCAACAGTTGTAGATATTCAACTCAAATTAAAGATATGGATATGTCATAAGAATGCACTGGTCATTTTCGAATTTGGTCATTGTTTGATGATAGCTGACAGAGTTATCCCCCTTGAACTTTGAAAAAAAATCAGAAATTTTAAGTTTCCGTTCATTATCTTCCCAATGGTTGGACACATTCAACTCAAATTTGACATATAGATACATCTTAGGAATAAGCAGTTAAGTTTGAATTTGGTCGTGGTTCAATGATTTTGGACAAAGATATCTTTCTTGAATGTTGGAAAAATTTTGAATTTTAAGTTTCAGCACTCATACTTTTGTTGAAATGTATGTAGCCATTATTTTGGCTACATAAATATGCAATATGCAATTTACAAAAGTTTAACACTGAATAGTTTCAGTGCCTTGAACTTTGTTTAAAACTGGTTTGTGTTAACATTGAATAGTTTTGAGGGCTTTGAACTTAACATTTTACTCCATGAGCATATTGTGAAAAATGGCCGTTTTCATTGAAAAGCCTCCTGTTACAAGTTCCAACTACTATAAAACTATGAAAAATGCTTCAATACTGATGAAACTAATGGCACATATGTTGACTGAACCATAACCTCTGTAACAATATGCTCAATCTTAAATTTTCTGTTGCCATGGCAACGGGGGACGTCTCAAAATTGCGAAAAATCACTATTTTGCATTGTTTTTCTTCCCATCAAAACTGATTTCAAAGTGCTGCAACTTCTCAATGCAATGAGATAGAGTGAAAGGTTTTTCAGCGTTGGTTACACGTCAGGGATGAAGATCGACCTGAGGCCATTTTTAGCCTATCACATGTCCAAAATTTTCTTGGCGAATGCGCAAGCCAAGTTCGAAATTGGTCATGGTTGCAGAGTTATGCCCCTTTCACTTTGAAAATAATATGAGATTTTCAGTTTCTTATCATTATCTCCCCAACGGTATTACACATTCAGCTCAAACTTGACATATGGATACGTTAAAGAAATGCGCAGGCCAAGTTTGAATTTGGTCATGGTTCAATGATTTTTTGCAGAGTAATGTCCCTTTCACTTTGAAAATAACATGAAATTTTCAGTTTCTGTTCATTATCTCCCCAAAAGTGTTACATATTCAACTCAACTTGATGAGGGGGACTACTGCCCCCTTCAAACCCCCTAAACAGAAGGGGGCACATCCTCCTTCTCGCAACCCCCTGATTTATCATTTTCATGGGGTCCGCGCCGAAAAAGTGGTTACTTTTTTAACAACATTTCTCAAACGAAAAACAGTATTTGGGGCCTAAATAGGGCATTTTTTCACTGTTTGAGGCCTCAAAAAAAGGGGGGGAAAAGAAAAAAAAAGTTGTGCATTCCCCCCCCCCCCCACCCCCTTGACGGTGTCTCTAATGTTAAGTTTCAAAATAATATATCTGAACTGGTATATTAAAATATAATATACCTTTCAGGAGATTTTTCTATTGTCCAGCATAATTTTCAGGGAATAACATACTTTAAGTGACACATCTTGTTAAAAAAAAAACAATAATCAAACAATTGTTTTTGAGGAATGTGGATGGGTTTATAATTGCATTCTTAAAATGGGGAATCATGATCAGTACAGAATACACAAATTGTTAAAATCAAGAATTTTTAAGCTTTATTTCTGATTCTAAGTACAAAGTAAATTTTAGTATATGTAACACAAATTTAAATTGTTTGCAGATTGTTGTATCAAATCTGTACCCATTGTATGTAAAGTTTTTCAAGTACTTGTTGGAATGGAAGGAGCGGACTCTTAATCTAAAAGAAGATAAATCAGTGGACATGGGAAACCTAGAGTGGGAAAAATATTCTAATAAGATAGTTTCTTTTAGAAAACAGGAAGAAATGGTAAGGCTTTCAATTATTATAAGAATGTACAAACAGTATTATGTATGCATACTTTAAAGAAACATCTTGTTAAAACTGAACTAATAAGATTTAACTAAATATGAATGCTTCTTTCAGTGAATTTGTTTATTAAATAGTGATAAAAATGGAAGATATAATATGAATCTTTATATATGTCAGTATGTAGTATTTGAAATGTCTGCTTGTATGTTGGTTAAAAGGGCCACTTTACAAGAGAACCTTTTACCCATAGCCTACAAACTTCTATTTATGGGCTTGGAAATGTCAAGGTCCTTTGTCCTTGAACTTTAAAACTGTTTCAACTAAATTAATATGGAAACATTTGGCCAAAACCTACAAAGTTCATAGGATCATTTTCCATATAAAGTAGAAGCTGCTTAACCAGATTGATTGAGAATTAATTAGCCATAGCCTTCAAAGTAAATGCTAAAAGATCTGGGCCACAGAGTGCTTGAATTTGAAAACTGTTTCCCCTCGATAACTATTCAATAAACTTTTTCTTTAATATAATTCGGGTATGATACAGGTATGATCCACAGCATTGTCGATACCCACGACTGAACTATTTCCTGGCCGATATCCAGTCGATGAAAGGGGTGTCAAAGACAGTTATTCCTTATTCCTCTGGTAGCCTCACGATTTTATGAGGTGATTAAAACCATTCAAATCCCTCATTTAATCCAATTAAATTTAGCTGTGAAAAGTTATTAAAAATGTGAACAATTTTCATCAAAAAAAGCATAGAAAATTTACTGCATAGAAAATTTACTGTAAATAATAGTTTCTACCTTTCCGTTGAAGAATATAAATTTCGTTAAACACAATTACAAAATCTACTTCTACAGACCCACTAGGTCTAGAGCAAAGATATTTTGCATAAGGCATTTTCTGTTCAAATAAGAAAATCTTCTTGTCTGCGGGTACAACCAGGCCTAGAGCTTTCATATTTTATATATAGTATCATCTACAGGTCTTTACCAAAGTTGTTCAAATTTTGCCTCTTAGTATCAACATTGGCCAACCGTGGGGGTCATATGTTTACCTTATATATATATATAGTAAGAACTGGAAAAAAATCTTCTTCTCTGAATTGACAAAGAATAGAGCATAAATATATGGCATGAAATATTGTGTAGTGAACATCTACCAAGATTGTTCAAATTATAGCCCTGGGGTCAAAATTTTTTCATTACATACATTTTGTAGAAACTTAGAAAATCTTCTTGTTTAAAGGTATAAGGCATAAAGCTTTAATATTAAGTATATAGTATCATCTACAGGTCATCTACCAAAGTTGTTCAAATTTTGCATCTAGTGTCAAAATTGGTCCTAGGTTTTCCTTATATGTACATTGTATATAAGAAAAACTGGAAAAAAGTCTTCTTGTCCACATGGACAAAGGTTAGAGGTTAGATATTTGGCAAGAAACTTTGTGTAGCGGACCTTTATCAAGATTCAAATTATACGCATGGGGTCAAAAATGCCCTCGCCCCAGGGGGTCATTGATTTTTATTATGCACATATTGTAAAAACATAAAAATCTTTTTGTCTAAAGCTTTGATATTTGGAATATGATATCATCTATATTTCCTGTACCACAGCTGTTCAAAATTTGCCTCTAGTTGCAAATTGGCCGACTGCCGGATCATAGATTTTCATTACAAACAATTATAGCATAATCTTATAGAAATATTATCCTCTGAGGCTTAAAAGACTAGAGCTTATATATTTTACATAAAACATTGTGAACCTCTACCAAGCAAGGACCTTTATAGGAATGGCCTCCATCTGTCCATCGTCTATCTGTCTGTCTGTCCGTAACTCTTGTGTCTGCTCATAACTTTTAAACCTCTGAAAAAATTTTGAAATAACTATTTTGAACACTATTTTTAGATGATGTGCAGAGCGCAATATTTGGGTTGCTAACCCCAAAGTCAAGGTCACATTTAAAGGTCAAGTGTTAAAAGTCTACATTTCGTGTCTGCTTCATAACTTTTGAACTGCTGAACATTTTTTTGAAATTACTTGGCACAAGTGATCATCATTATGAGAAGATTTGCAGAGCGCAATAATTTAGTTGCTATCCCAAAGATGAAGGTCACACTTAAATGTCAAGTGTTTAAAAGCCTTCATTTTGTGTCCGCTCCATAACTTTTTGACTGCTGAAAAGATTGAAATAACGTGGCACAAGTAGTCACCCCAAAGGTCAGGGTCAAGGTCCAATGTTAAAACATCTTTTTTTTCATGCCCGCTCTATAACTTATTGACAGTTCAAAGGTTTATCAGTGTTCAATCTAGAATGAATTCCCAGGGGGCCCTTTGGGCCCATAAACTCATCAACAGGGGGTCATTTGAGAAAAAACGGGGCCCACACCTTAAATGAACTTAAAATTCAAATAAGGTATAAAATTTTACCTTTTAACTTATTTGTTACTTTAACTGATAATACGTACCTTATATCCACAAAAGAAAGTTGCAAAAAATTGACTCAACTTAAAATTATTTATCTTATTACGGCCTTTTTATATGCCCGAAAGGGCATATTATGTTATACCCCCTGGCGTCCGTCTGTCTGTCCGTCCCTTCGTCCGTTAGCAATTTGGTTTCCGGAGCATAACTTAAGTACCATTTGGCCCACAATGTTCAAACTTCATAGGATGATTGTCCATATTGGGTAGAAGACCCCTATTGATTTTGGGTCAAAAGGTCAAAGGTCAAGGTCACTATTACCTTTAAACTGAAAACAGTTTCCAGAGCATAACTTAAGTTCCATTTGACCCATAATGTTCAAACTTCATAGGATGATTGTCCTGATTGGGTAGAAGACCCCTATTGATTTTGGGGTCACAAGGTTAAAAGTCAAGGTCACTATTACCTTGATACTGAAAACAGTTTCCGGAGCATAACTTAAGTTCCATTTGGCGCACAATACTCAAACTTCATAGGATGATTGTCCATATTAGGTAGAAGAACCCTATTGATTTTGGGGTCAAAAAAATCAAAGGTCAAGGTCACTATTACCTTAAAATTGAAAACAGTTTCCGGAGCATAACGTAAGTTCCATTTGACCCACAATATTCAAACTTCATAGAATGATTGTCCATATTGGGTAGAAGACCCCTATTGATTTTGGGGTCAAAAAAATCAAAGGTCAAGGTCACTATTACCTTAAAATTGAAAACAGTTTCCGGAGCATAACGTAAGTTCCATTTGACCCACAATATTCAAACTTCATTGAATGATTGTTCATATTGGGTAGAAGACCCCTATTGATTTTGGGGTCACAAGGTCAAAGGTCAAGGTCACTATTACCTTAATACTGAAAACAGTTTCCGGAGCATAACTTAAGTTCCATTTGGCCCACAAAATTCAAACTTCAAAGGATGATTGTCCATATTGGGCAAAAGATCCCTATTGATTTTGAGGTCACTAGGTAAAAGGTCAAGGTCACAATTACCTTAAAACCAAAAACAGTTTCTAGAGCATAACGTAAGTTCCATTTGGCCCACTATATTCAATCTTCATAGGATGATTGTCCATATTGGGTAGAAGACCCCTATTGATTCTGGGATCAAAAGGTCAAAGGTGAAGGTCACTATTACCTTACAATTGAAAACAGTTTCCGGAGCATAACATAAGTTCCATTTGACCCACAATATTCAACGTCATAGAATGATTGTCCATAGTGGGTAGAAGACCCCTATTGATTTTGGGGTCACAAGGTCAAAGGTCAAGGTCACTATTACCTTAATACTGAAAACAGTTTCTGGAGCATAACTTAAGTTCCATTTGGCCCGCAATATTCAAACTTCATAGGATGATTGTCCATATTGGGAAGAAGACCCCTATTGATTTTGTGTCACAAGGTCAAAGGTCAAAATCACTTTTACCTTAATACTGAAAATAGTTTCTAGAGCATAACTTAAATTCCATTTGGCCCACAATATTCAAACTTCATAGTATGATTGTGCATATTGGATAGAACACCCCTATTGATTTTGGGTCACAAGGTCATACGTTAAGGTCATTTTTTATAACTTAAGTATTAATCAACCTACAGCTGTAAAATTTTATAGGATTTACAGCTAATTCCCAAAAAAAAAACACTTTCAGGCATATAATGCTCCGCCTAGCGGTGCTCTTGTTTGAGAGCATTTTTAAGAACTGATTAGTAGAGAAACAAAGACATAGTGTTTCAAGTATAAAACTATCAAAAAATCAATGACCCCCTGGGGCAAGGCCATTTTTGACCCCAGGGCTATAATTATACCCCCCGAAACGAAGTTTAGGGGTATATAGGAGTCACTCGGTGGTTGGTCGGTCCAGCGGTCCGTTGCATTTTCCTTGTCCTGAGCATAACTTGAAGACTAACAATTGGAATTCAATACAACTTCATACAATGATCAAGCACATTGAGAGGAAGTGCAGTGCACAAGAACCATAACTCTATCTTGACTGATTACAGAGTTATTGCCCTTTGCTACTTTTCCTTGTCTGGAGCATAACTTGAAAACTACTGATTGGAATTTAAAACAACTTCATACAATGGTCAAGCACAATAAGAGGAAGTGCAGTGCACAAGAACCATAACTCTAATCTAAAGTAATTTACATAGTTATTGCCCTTTGTTACTTTTCCATTCCTAGTTTTGTCCGGACCATAACTTGAAGACTAATGGTTGGAAGTCAATATAACTTCATACAATGGTCAAGCACATTTAGAGGAATTGCAGTGCACAAGAACCATAACTCTATCTTGACTAATTACAGAGTTATTGCCCTTTGTTACTTTTCCTTGTCTGGAGCATAACTTGAAAACTACTGGTTGGAATTCAAAACAACTTCATACAATGGTCAAGCACAATAAAAGGAAGTGCAGTGCACACGAACCATAACTCTATCTAAGGTAATTACAGAGTTATTGCCCTTTGTTACTTTTCCATTGCTTTTTTTTTGTCCGGAGCATAATTTGAAGACTAATGGTTGGAATTCAATACAACTTCATACAATGATCATTTAGAGGAAGTGCAGTGCACAGAAACCATAACTTTTTCTTGACTCATTTAAGAGTTTTTGCCCTTTGTTACTTTTTATTGTCCAGTGCATAACTTGAAATTTAATGATTGGAATTCAATGAAACTTCATACAATGGTCAAGGGCAGTGAGATGAAGTGCAGTGCACAAGAACCATAGCACTATTTGGACAAATTACAGTTATTGCCCTTTGTTACTTTTTTTTGTCCAGTGCATAACTTGAAAACTAGTAGTTGGAATTCAGTACAACTTCATACAATGGTAAAGGGCAATGAGAGGAAGTGCAGTGTACAATAAACATAACTCCATCTTCAGTATTTGTAGAGTTATTGCCCTTTGTTCTTTTTCCTTGTCTGGTGCATAACTTAAAAACTAATGTTAAATGCAACTTAATACAATGGTCAAGTGCAATGAGGGGAAGTGCAGTGCTCAAGAAGCGTAACTCTTTCTAGACTTATTACAGAGTAATTCAATAAAACTTCATCAATAGTCAACCACATTAAAAGGAAATGCAACATACAAGAACCACACCTATCTTTAATTGCCCACAACCATAACTCTATTTCAATTTTTTTGCAAGGTATTCTGTTACTAGTAACTAGTGATTAGTAACTTCCTCATTTCCAAAGCAGTCTTGCGGGGGTATTAATCACATTTAGTGAAAGTTCTAGTTTGAACAATTTTTGAAGAGTTTCATTCGATGATGTTAAACACAACATGTATAAGCTCTAGGCCTTGCACTTTCAGAGGATTAGATTTTTAGCTCACCTGAGTCCGTCATCAACTTTTTATACAAACAACTTTTTCTCAGAAACCACTGAGCCAAATGTGATGAAATTTTCCTGAGATGTTCCTAGCATGAAGCTCTACTAAAAGTGTTCAAATTGTTCTGCTCAATTGAACATCTGGGTCAGGGCGCTAAAAATATATTTTTGAAATGAAATCTTTAAATATTTTTTGTGGAGTAAGTGGTCTCTAGGGTCAAAGTCAAGGTCACTGGTTTAGAAAATAAATTTAAACATTTTTGTTCATACAGCCTTTATTTTTTAGTTGATGTCTTTCATGTTTAATACAAACATGCCAAGGGAGGTCCTCCTTCTTTGGGTATAGTAAGGGGTCATTTTGGTCAAGGTCAATGTCACCAATGTCAAGGTCACCAATGTTAAAAATAGATTTTTACATTTTTACAGGTGTATTAACCATATTCTATAGACAGATGTCATTTATAATTGATAGGAACATAAAATTTGATGGAGTTAGTGGTCAGTTGGGTCAAGGTCACCAGTGCTAAAAATATATTTTTACACTTTTGCTCATACAGCTTTTATTTATTGACAGATATATTTCATGTTTGGTAGGAAGATAACTTGCATGGTATTCATCCTTTTGATTGGGGTAGGGATCAGTGGGTCAAGGTCACTTGTGCTAAAAATAGATTTTTACACTTTTGCCCATACAGTCTTTATTTATTGACAGGTGTATTTCATATTTGATAGGAAGATAACTTGCATGGTATTCTTCATTTTGATTGAGTTAGGGATCAGTGTGTCAAGGTCACTAGTGCTAAAAATTGATTTTTACACTTTTGCCCATACAGCCTTTATTTATTGACAGATATATTTCATGTTTGGTAGGAAGATAACTTGCATGTTATTCTTACTTTAGATTGAGTTAGGGGTCAGTTGGGTCAAGGTCGCTTGTGCTAAAAATAGATTTTTACACTTTTGCCCATACAGCCTTTATTTATTGAGAGATTTATTTCATATTTGGTTGGAAGATAACTTGCATGGTATTCTTCCTTTGGGTGGAGTTAGGGGTCAGTTTGGTCAAGGTCGCTTGTGCTAAAAATAGATTTTTACACTTTTGCCCATACAGCCTTTATTTATTGACAGGTGTATTTCATATTTGGTAGGACGATAACTTGCATGATATTCTATAGGTGTTACCGCCTCCGTGGTCGAGGGGTTAGAGTCGATGACTTCTAATCCAGTTACCTCTCTGGCGTGGGTTCGATCCCCGGGAGATGCTTTGGTAGTTTAGCGCGGAGGAAGGTAGTCTAGTACTGGTGTAACTCTCCAGGAACGATGGTTAGGAAACTACCCGCCTATATGACTGAAATACTGTTGAAAAAGGCGTAAAATGAAGCAAACAAACAAAAATTCTATAGGTGTCAGTTGATAAAGTTGAATATTTATCACTTCACAAGTCATAGCAATGACTTGGCAACTTATATATTTCACAATTACAAAATGCCATGACTCTGTCAAGCTATATAACTTGTTAGTCCCCTACCGGTTTACCGGAGGGGACTTTAGGTTTACCCTCAGTCCGTCTGTCAGTCCGTCCGTCTGTCCGTCCGTCCACAAAATTGGATCCCGAGATAACGCAAAAAGTACTGAAAATATTTTAATGAAACTTGATATATGGATAGATGGCAGTATGGAGATTATGCACGCCTTTTTCTTTTTTTCCTATGCTGAAAATTCTGGTTGCTATGGCAACAAATATACTGAAAATATGGCAAATTTTACACATAACCTGGATCCCGCGATAACGCAAAAAGTACTGAAAATATTTTTATGAAACTTGATATATGGATAGATGGCATTATGGAGATTATGTACGTCTTTTTCTTTTTTTTCCTATGCTGAAAAATCTGGTTGCTATGGCAACAAATATACTGAAAATATGGCAAATTTTACACATAACCTG